CAATCAAAATAGAATTTTTTGTGTGTTCCAATGGAAGATGAAATATTAAAATAGCGTATAAATTTTGATTCCTCTACTGGTTAATAGGTGTCGCTTTCAAAACTTTTCAACCAACCTGTATAAAGCCAGATTGTAACAGATTTAATCTGCTTTTCTTCGACATTAACGTTATTTCATAGAAATTATGAACCAACTATTTATGTTAATAAATTTGTTCAAACGAAAGGATGCCAACAAGTGTTATGGCTTCATGATGATGAACGACATAGAACAGAAGTTGGTACAATGAATGTGTTTATGTAGTTGAAAAATAAAAAAGAACGTACTGAATTAGTTACGCCACCTTTGAATGCACTTTTACCTGGTATTGCTCGTCAAAGTACTCTAGATCTTGAACGTGCATACGTAAAAATAGATTAACTCATCTATAAAATAATTCTGTTTTTTTTTTATTTTTAGAAAGATTTAACTATTTATGAACGAGAAATAACAATGAATGAACTTTTAGAAGCATATCAAGATAACAGAGTATGATTTTACTAGAGAGAATATTTCGTATTGAATTTTGTTTACTCTATTAGCTGTAGGACATGTTTGGTACTGATACAGCATACATTGTTTGTTCTGTTGAACGAATTGTTTATGAAGAAAAAACATATAATTTAGCCACAATGAACAAAGGTTTGTCTTTAATATTTTATTTAATTATTTCAATCTGAATGATTAATGTAGGAGCTCCATTAATAAACCGATTTCATGATGAACTTGTCGATTTTCAAGTATGAATCATTTTCTTTTTAAATCATAATACTTTTTTTATAATTTTGTTTGGTCGAAAACCAGGTAAATGGACAGTTGATGTCATATAAAATTTTTCTTCATTTTTTCAAATACATTTCATGGCAAAGCTTTACATCGTAGTGTAAATGGTTATATTAAGTATAATCTGAACCATTGTCCTACTTATTCTTTTTACTGGTATGAATGAACAGTAAAAAGCAGTTATGCACTTTTTTTGTCTCGGTATTGGATGAAACAAAAACAAAGAAGATAATAATTTGACATATTCAATTAAAGTTTTGACTCTTTTTTTGGATCAGGATACATTCATTATTTCTCTTGATTTTTTTTTTTATAAATGTTATTTGTTTTTAGTTCACAGCCAAAACGTGTTGTTGATCAAATGTATACATAACTTAATCATGCATGTTATTGTGTTCGATATTTCAATGGTACACATGGAATTGATTGTCAATCAACTGTAAGAGGCAATTCTGGTCGAATTTATATGATTGATAATGATCAAGAATTTAATTCATATCTTACAGATACTAAAATTATTGATTCATCTGATTCATTTATTATTGTACTTAATGCGAATTTATTTGAGCACTCCTTCTACACTATCAACTGATACACCTACATTGAATTATAATGCTACAAAACTTTAATTAATATATCTCTCAAAGAGAATAGACGCCTATTTATATTGAGACTTTGTTTAGTATTATTATTATTGGTAATTGTAAAATATAATATATTGATATCAATACATATTACAACATTTATTTTTATTTAATGTAATTCAATTAACAACAAATGAGCAAAACAATAAATGAGTGAAATAGGAAATAAACGACAGCACAATTGAAAAGTCAAAAAAAGAATTGTTTTTTCATTTACTACGATACATAAGAATCAACATTGGTACCCCAAATAATAACGGAAATAATTGCCAAATCTTTCCATAATTCATATTGATTAATTTGGTTTCAAGTGATTTCGTTTCAAGTGATTTGGTTTTAAGTAATTTTGATTTCATCTTCAAGTAATTTTATTTTAGCTTCATCTTGAATTTTCTCTTCTGCTTGTTTTCCGATAATCCTGGCTTTTTCTTCTATTATCTTGTCTTTTTCTTCTATCGATGTAGTAAGCTCTTCGATTAATTTTATAATCTTCTTTGATTTTGATTCCATATTATTCTAAAATGAAAATAAGATTACTTATACATAACAAACTCTATGTCTTACAATCTAAAAATGAAGACGGATACATGTGGAAATTATATAAAACATTTAAAAATGATGTTTTCAGAAGGTAATTCTATAGCAGGTGCTTCACATTGCACGAAGCTAGTGTAAAAACAATGAGTGTGAGGGTGAGATGAAGCACTTGCTATATGAGTATCCAATACCACTCTTGATATGATCAAATCTGTTTACACGTTTTTATTGAAACAACCTTTTTCATCCTTGAAAGTAATTAAAATTTGCATGCAAATTAACCTCTAGCTCAATCAGAAAGTGAGGCATCGGTACAGTGAAACTGTGGATATCTGCTTTACGAGCCATTTTTCAAGCACGAAGTCCATCAAACTCGACTCATGAACTATCAAAAATTGACAAGACACTCAAATTAGTGTGACAATAATGTTGTAGAAAATTTCAGCAAAATGATGAATACTCATCATCCTAAAAACCTGCCAAGACTCGTCCAGGAACATGTTCCAAGTCTTCCATTCATGTTCCAAGTACAACTCGATGAGCTCTATCTAACGATATATTCAGATTTTCTGTAGCTCAAACTATCTGTGAAAAAAGTTCCTGAAGACGGGCATACCGCAAATGATGTTGGTACTGATATAGTAAATTTAGCCGAGATTGGTTTAGGAAAATGTTCCAGATGTTCCATTTATGTTCCAAGTACAACTCGATGAGCTGTATCGAATCATATATTCAGATTGTCCGTAGCTCAAACCATGTCCTAGAAAATCCAAAAATATATAGGTATCCCCACAGGAATTCTGGATTGTATATAGTAAAACCTGCAAAATATTCGTCCAGGAACATATTCCAAGTGTTCCATTCGTGTTTCAGATACAACTCGATGAGCACTATCGAATGGTGTATTCAGATTTTCCATAGCTCCAACCAAGTTCTAGATAATCGAAAACTGCTGGTACCTCAGCAAAGGGAACTTAGGCTCCATCTACCAAAACCTGCTGAGATTCGCCCAGGAGCATGTTCCAGATGTTCCATTTCTGTTCCACGTACAACTCGATCAGATCTATCGAATAGTGTATTCAGATTTTCTATAGCTCAAACCATGTCCCCGAAAATCGAGAAAAACTATTGTGTTAGCACAGGAATCTTGGATGCCTGATAGTAAACTCTGGCAAGATTCTTAGAGAAAGATGTTCCGGATGTTCCAAGTACTACTCGATGAGCTCTATCGCATGGCATAACTAGATTGCCGATATTTCAAACCATGTCCCAGAAAATCGAAAAATTGTGTTATATGAGCATAGAAAACTTGGATTCCATCTAGTAAAACCAGTAAAGATTCTTCCATGAACATATTCCAGATGTTCCACTTATATTCTAAGTAGAACCCGATGAGCTCTATCCAATGGTATAGCTAGATTCTCGATAGCTCAAACTATGTCTCTGAAAGTCTAAAAATAGTGCAATATCAGCATAAAAAATGTAGACCCCATATAGCAAAACTAGCCAAGATTCTTGTAGGATGATGTTCCAGATGTTCCAAGTACAGCTCGATGAGCTCTATCCAATGATATATTCAGATTTTCTATAGCTCGAACTGCGTCCCCGAAAATCCAAAAATACTAGTGTGTCAGCACAGGAATCCTAGATTTTATATAGTAAAACCTGACAAGATTCGTCCAGAAAGATATCCCAGATGTTCCATTTGTGTTCCAAATACAACTTGGTGAGCTCTATCGAATGGTATAATCGGATTCTCGATAGCTCAAACCACGCCCAGAAAACCCAAAAATACCGCTATATGAGCATGGAAGACTTGGACTCCACATGGTGAAACCTGCCAAGATTCTTCAAGCAACATGTTCGAGATGTTCCATTTATGTTTTGAGTAGAGCTCACCCAGCTGTATACAAAGTTGTATTCAGCTTTTCAATATCTCAAGCCGTGTGTGCAAAAATCCCAAGCATGGGCTCCATCATATATGAGTTTGTTGCTGATACAGTAAAATTAGCCGAGATTTGTCCAGGAAGATATTTCTAGATGTCCCATTTGTGTTCTAAGTAGAGTTCGATATGCTCCATCCAGTGGTGTATTGAGATTTTCGAAACCGCAAACCATATTCCAGATAATCGAAAATAGTGGCATAGTAGCTTAGGAATCATATATTCAAGATAGTGCAACCTCCCAAGATTTGGCCAGGAGCACGTTCCATATATTTTAATTGTGTTCCAAGCATGACTCGATGCGCTGTAACGAGGAGAATAGTTAGATTTTCGATATCTCAAACTATATCTGAAAAAGTCCCAAAAGATGAGACCCATCATATTGAAACGTTGATACTGCTATAGGAAAACCTGCCAAGATTCTTGCAGGAACATGTTCCAAATGTTCCAGTTGTGTTTTTAACTACAACTCGATGAGCTCCATCGAATGGTATAAGTAGATTGTGGAAAGCTGAAACTGTGTGCAATAATAATCCCAAAACATGGACCCCATCGTATATGATGTTGGTACTGTCTAGTAAAATCAGCCGAGGTTCGCCCAGGAACATGTTCCAGATGTCTCATTTGTGTTCCGATTGGAGCTCACTGAGCTCTATCCAATGGTGTATGAAGATTTCCTATAGCTGAAATCATGACCCAGCAAATCGAAAAATACTGCTACATCAGCATTGGGGAAACTTGGGCTTCGTATAGTAAAGCCTGCCAAGGTTTCTCAGGAACATGTTTCGGATGTTCCATTTATGTTATAAGTACAAATTGATGAGCTCTATCCGATGGTTTAACTAGATTCGCCATAGTTCAATTGAAGAGCCGAAAACTTCCTATGTCTGGTATATACTTATGGCAAGTAGGAAACGCTTGCAGTTTATCCACTTCCGGGTCATCTGTTCACATGTTGAGAGTGTTGTACTGGTGTTAAAAGTTCGCATTTATGAGTTCTATGGTGTTTTCTGTTGCTTGTAAATCTCTTTTCAAATAGGCTTGCATATGGTATAAAATGGATTGTGGAGGCTAGTCGACATTATAGAGTTGCCCACTGGAAACATATCTTCTAGCACGTATATGTTTTTTTTAAAATTTCCATCGCATCGGTGAATAAAATATTTCATTGCTGTTTAATAATTATCGGTAGCTTTTCAAATAACTGGGGGCTAATCATTTATTTTGGTTATGGTTTGAGTACATAGCTGATTATTATGAAACAGTAACTTGTATTTTTGCGTTTATATGTGTAGAATTAGGTATCATTTTATTCTAAGTGATATCTGTTGAGCGAGAGATTCGAAAAAAAATTGAAAACCTGCAATGGTAGGAGTTCAATATGAAGCATGGTTTAATGATTATCTGTTTTTATTAAGTAGAGTTGTAAGTACCTGAATAACGATGAGATTTTTCTGTGCCGGTGAACAGAGGTTTAACATCACATAGTGTTTAATGTTGATCTTTAGATGCTTGGTATTCATATTTGACGTAAAGAATAATAAAGATAACAAATTAATAAACAAATAATTTATCTCTGTAATGGGTT